CGCTCTGCGGCTAATAAAGCCGCGTTCGCGCCCAAAGCTAGAGCGCCTTTGTCATGCAGCGGCCTATAGATATATTGATGATGTGTACTGATATTTAATGATGTTAGCAGTAGTAGCAGTAGTGATGTAGATCTTTTTAGGCGACCATCTTGTCCGAGTATCTTCTGCACAATGATATTGTACGCAATCGACGTGTTCTGGAACTTGGAGCTGGAACTGGACTTCCATCTATCGTAGCCGCAAAACTTCTTGCTTTCCATGTGACAGCCACAGATCAGCAGTCAGCTCTCTCACTTCTTCGTCAAAACCTTGAAGCAAATCTCGACCAGAAACAACTGTCCACGGTTACTGTAGCTCCACTGGACTGGACAAATCCACCAAAGGACAAGCTGCCCTGCGATGTTGTGCTCGGCGCAGATCTCGTGTACAACAAGAGCGTGTTTGAAGCATTGAAAAACGTCATAACCTGGCTGGTTGAGGGTGATACGATGATGTTGATGGCCACTAAGATACGATATCCAAAAGACCGGGATTTCTATGAAACGCTCAAAAATGAATTTTCAGTCGAGCAGGTCCATTATGACCAAGCAACAGATGTCATTTTGTACCGTATCAAGAGGAAACGTGAAGAATTATGATCAGTAGAAGTCATGTAGGCTCTACAGAACACCGATGAAGTTCGGCGTGCTCTTAAACAAAGCTGTGATTGTTTCATGTACCTTTGCTTTTCGTAATCTCCGACGTCAAGCTCAATGATACACTGTCTCACTTTTGCAATGATTACTCCGGCTACTCGCTTAGGTAATCTGTTATCCCATCCCATTGCCGACACCCTAAGCTACCTTAACCATGGTTTGATTCCATATGATCATTCCTTTTCCTTAACAAGTATTTATTCGATATATGCACGATATCACCTTGTTGTCACAAGTACAAGATGCATCTGTTATTTTACTAAACTCGGACAACCTCAAGAGGCTTCGCGACCAAAGGAATCTCTGGCGTACCGTTCCTTGCCCAAAAGAATTGTAGAGCGACCATTTTGCAAGGCACAGTGGTGCGGCTAAGCTGCTTGCTTTGAAATGTGGAAGAGTCTTGTACTCATGAAATTAGGTACTTCGTTGCATTGTAAACGGCTTGGTCGCGCATTGCTTTAGAATAAAAAGTTATGTCACCTCTTTCCCACTCCTTCCTTTCCCTCCCTGAGGTGTCCATTTTGCTACATTTCATTGTGATCATATTTATCAATAAATCGATTGGCGAACCTCAACTCACAAGACGCGTTTGGTACTAATTCTAATTCTTACATAATAAATGCACGGTATAAGTGTAAAGAGGTGCTCAAGGATAAACACAATCAGGCATGAGGTGGCTCCGCAAAACTTTGGGAGCGAAGTTTCTGTCAACTTTGCCACAAAGACATGAATAACAAAGAAAAATGGAACAGAAAACAAAAACAAAATTGCACACGATAAAAAAA